TATGGGAGCGATGCCGCGCAACGTGTCGATTTCACAGGTGCCCAATTGACATACTTAAAGCGAAGACAAATGTAAGTCTAAGTGTTAATTGAGAGATTTTGGAATGTAAGAGATACTGATGAAGGAACATGTGAGTCATCAGTAGCTGCACATTTTTTTCTATTCTTCTCCCATTCATTTTACGCAGCATATAAGTTGACCTGTCAAGTCTGTCACGCAACTAACGGTGTTACTTTTGTCTATAATGTTCATGGCTGTGTGTGGTCTGTAATACTGTTAGGGCTACTAAAAGTTGATAAGAAAACATTTAAAGTGATCATTTAAAGCATTTTGTTCAGATGCTTGACCTCAAAGTAGTATAGGTCAACTTAGAATTAAGCGTGTAGCCCGAATTTCTAAAAGCAGTGCGTAACGCTTGCTGTAATTTACAACAAGGAGTGCCAGAAGATTGTTTAGGTCAGACCTCTTCATTAAACGACCTGGTAGGAGAAACCTTGTGGCTTCCTACTTTGCAGCTCAGTAGGTTACGGAGGTGTGCAAACCGTTATAAACATAGGTCTCTTTAGGACACTAATTCCAAAGCACATAGAGAATAACTAAATGCGTGTAAGGTAGTAGTTTATCGGCCTGGAAAACGGAAAGGATATTTAGCATGCACTTTTTTAAACTCTTACTAGCTTTATATTGTGCAAACCGGTTATGCCCACTGACCCTCTTTTAGAACCAAATGATCAAAGGGATAAGGCCCGTACTGCCAACGCACATTTTGAAGAGATTGGGATGGGCGGGTGACTAGTAGAGGCGTTAAAAATTCGAAGCATACGGAATTTCTGTACACTTGCTGTCATAGCTGAAGGGAACTTAATCAAAGGTAAAAATCTAGGATAATGTTAAGAGATCCACTATCTTGAGTGATAGCACATACCAGTACATATAACAAACTCCAAACCTTAGTGAGTCTTTGCGCTCAACAAAAAAACAAAATTCACTGATGTAACAATATTTTTTGCATAGATGTAGGCAAAAAGGAATGATTTGACGACCAGCAAACGTCATTTTGAATCATCTAGGGGAAATATATTACCATAGGTCGTTCTGTTTCCCAGCGGAAAACCGAGTTTTTAATACCGACAATTTACTGTCACACCTAACATTCCTTCCCTTTAAAGTTATCTATCCTATGTATCGTTTCTGCTGTTTAGCCATCACTAAGATCCCACGTGCCCAGAACGCCTGCAACAGTGCGCATGTAGTAATCATAATGTCCCGATAGCTGGTGTCCATAAAACTCGAGTAAGTGCTGTCTTATTCTTTCCTATGAAAGACGTCATCAGAAGATTTGTACACACCGACAGTGAAATGCTATTAGTTACCGACAGCTAATAATGCAAAAGAATGCATTCAAGCTCAGAAAGGATCCAACGTCCCACCAATGCTACACAAATCGCCGGCTTGAAAAGGTCTGTGAAAACCAGATTTAACAGCAGCTAACGTGAAGCATGTTCCAGATGGCTTAGTGACAGAGTAGTAATCCTACATAAGCCACTTAGTTAAGCAAGAACTTGTCTTGGAATGATAAAGTGCTGCGCTAACTGTAAGCGAAGCACTAAGGGCAAGGGAAGTTGAAGCACCATAAAGTAAGCATTCAACAGTGTCTAGCGTATTTTCTCAGCAGCTGAGCTTACTTTATATCCGTATTGCCCAGACCGCGACCGCGGAACAAATAATGAGAAAGGATGGGAAGCATTATGTGCTAACGTGACCGATTACTCCAGCGACATTCTCAGTTTCCTATACCAGGTTTACCAGCGCAGCCTTCTGACCCTTCTGGCTGGGGCTTGGAACACGCATGGCCATATATTCTCTAAAAAGTGCAACGAACTGTTATCACAATCAAACATCACTGCCTTTCACTTAGACATTTAAGCCAATATCTGCGGTTCTGAGTCGTACCTCCATCTAGGCCAGCGTGCCTTCATACTGCCACTTCCGTTGCATAGTGTATTCAGCCAGGTTGCCTTAAGTGATTCATAGAGCGATGTGACTGGGCCATAACGGACTGGCTATAATGTCTCATCTACCTCTCCTTCACATTTTCCTCTCTCCGCTCCAATAATATATCTTTTCTTGTAGGCGCGTCCGTTGAATCTGATGACCGTTTTATATTGCTTCAGTTATGGTTGCAAAGTCTGTAGGTAATTCAGCACCGACGGACTTAAGCATCTCAAAACAAACCCTCAGGCTACCCGACCTTTCGGCTGGTTTTGAGGTAAACGCTTTAAAGCAACAGAAGGACAAGCTACTCTTGCGCTTTGAAATGATGTATTTTGTGAATCAGGAATCTAATTCAAGGTCTGAGCACTGCCTCATCACTCTCTATCTGTGTCTGGCTGCAAAACTCCAGCATCACCAAGCCGCTAATACAGGATGTTCCAGGGTTGTCAGCGTCCCAAGTCACCTAATGAAAGATTAACGGTTTGACTGGAAAACCTTTGGCTTCGCTTGTTTTTTCGCCTTATGGTAGCCCATGAAGCGTTGACTTGGTCCTGACCTGGTAGGACCAGAGCTTTGCACTCTCTCTGATGCTAGGACAAAGCAGGACGTACAACTTCTGGGACCTCAATGCGTATTTGACTGTTTTATCTACAATTTCCAGGAAAGGAATGTCCAGAAATTTTGTAAACACAATATGTTATTTGCATTCACAGACTTTTGAATGTGTGAGAGTCTGGAAATTAACTCTCCGAATGCTTCTGTAAATAAAGTATTATTCTATTAAAGGTATTAACTCTCTTTATTTCTGTTTAGTTTTTCCATCCGATAAAATAATCATATGAATGCAAAATGTCTTCGGAACTCTGGTAGTAAAACGGCTGCTGACGAAACCCTTGTTAGTCTGGAATGTGAAGCCGACATCGTTTTCGTCCGTGAAGATAAACAGAAGACTCAGGTGTTTTTAAATGACTGTCAAAATCATTGTCATTCTTCATGCGCCCTCCTCCCACAGTGTTTGAGAGCATGCTCCTAAACACAGTAACTGAACACGCAATCCGAAATCCATGTTTCTTGAAATTTTCACTGGTTCTAACGAACGATACTATACAACTCTCCTAAATCCGTGTAATCAAAGACATTTGCAGTCGCACAATAACGAATCTTCATATCTCAAGGGACTTGTGTAGTGGACTACAATGCAGGCTTGTTTGCTGTATGGTTCCGAAACATGGCTCCTGCAAGCAGAGGAACTGAACGTTCTCCATGCTTTTGACAACAGCTGTCTCAGTGCCTTTGCCCACGTGGCTGTTGTTGTGTATGGATTCCTAACTAAACAATTAGAAAACGAGTGGTTGGTTGTACAACATGGACTTCGACTGCAGAATATGTCAGAAACCAGAAGTCTCATTAATTATCTAGCGCATGCCAAACCGCCATTCACCGTTCCGCGATTGCAACCTCTGCATTTAGTATATTCAATAACAATCAGATTTCTGGCGCTCTAGCAGTACAGTCAATGCGTAGCCACATATGCTTGGAATTTAAATTTTTCTAACTTACCATTTTTGTGGTAAGTGTAACTATTGTTGTCTTCATTTCTTTGCATGAAATGAAACATTTGTGGTCCGGCACAGCAGCTTTTGTTTCTGTGCTGACAAGAATCATAATACGATAGACCCTCGTTTTCTTTTACACATCGAAGGAATGTTATCGCTGAGACTAGGTTATACTTCGTCCTCTCTTCTGGGAGGTTAAAATAGTGAGTGCAGCTAGTGAGCTAAATACTAATTTCAGTAGCCTCGATTATTTATAGGATGTCATGGTACAGCTTTTGAAAAGCTTTTTAAAGTTTTGGTGCCGTGTGTCCTTCCTTTCAGGCTAGGAATGACCTTTTGTGCTGCGGATGTTTGGCTTTTGGTCTCAGAAGATTGTGACCTAAGTGTTTCTATAAAATGGGAGGGCATCGAGTGCCTGTCCTAATTTGGGCAATCGTTCATTCCGTAAATCTGTGTTTTAATAGAACAGCTTCTTGGCGGTTTAAGCTGACTGAACTAGAATGGTTGGGAAGTACGCACAACAAATTGGGAATGACGATGGAGATCCAATTCGGCGAAGGCGCTTTGTAAGTTTTGTGCCTTCTTCAGAGGCATGGTTGCATCCGTATATGGCTCATTGAATGTAGGTTCGTCGGTGCCTTTTGTTACTGCTAGTTTCAATTATGCAATCAGATCGCTGCCTCTGCTATTTTCGAAGCTAAGAAGGCTTACATGAGGTTGCTGACATTCTTATTGGATATTGTGTATGAAGTATTATTTGTTACTTCCTTCAGAAATAATCCGCTAGAATTTTTGTGACAAACGCTGCGCAGTCGAGAAATGTCTGCATGTCAACCGTTCGTTCTGGCTTCATCAAGGGAAAGCGGTATCTACGTGGTAGTCCGGCGTTTTTACGACATTTTCACGTTACAGCGCAACGCCAGTGAGATTGATTTCACAGGGACCGAGGATAGCAAAAAGAGGGTTGACCACAGCACCCCTGATTCAGCAAGTTCGGTTAATTATTGTTCTAGTGCAACATTCACTTGAATTTCGTAGTGGGCTTTATATTCTCGTAACGCGTATAATATGATCTGTATAATATATGTACATTATATAATATATAGTGTATATTATAATCTGTTTAAGAATCTGCTCAAGAAAAAACGTGAGCCTCGAACTCCTGATAGGTCACAAAAATGGAGGATCGAAAAGTTGTGGTAATAGCGATATTCATAATAATCTCCAGGCTATTCTTCAAGAATCACATCTTGCATCGCAAACATTAGCAGTGCGTAGTAGTAGTCTAGATGTTAAAGGCTTTCTGAGCAGCAAATTTTTTCGCACTTCGAGATCCTGTTCCGTATACTTCATAGTATTTTGTTTGGATGAAACTGTTTACAAATGAACATTTAAGCCAAAGATAGGAAATACCAGTAATAGATAAACAAGTATACCACCAAAGCTTACGGTGTTCCATCAGACATGTTCAGCCTCCTGATGTCTAGCAGAGAATGATCACTCAAGACGACCCGAGTTCGGGAGCGAGAAACCGCAGTATTTTCGAATTCGTTCCTGAAGCATATGACCTTGAAGCCGTGGGCTAGAGGCACACCTAAAATTTCTCTTAAACCGTGGTTCGAAGAAGGAAAACTTTAACATAAAGTTTTAACATTTGATGGTAATTTTTCGGCGGTATGAGTTCTTCCCAAACGGCCGCAGTTTTTTTGAAAGTTGTTTAAGTCTACTCAATCCACGCGATATTCAAGACCCGGGATATTCGTATTTTAAATGGCTGTTACGGCTGAGCACATGAATGCGGAGGATGATTTTGTGGAGAATTTAGCTCTTCAACGTTTTTTCTCATTCAGTGCATTCCAAGTCGCTTTGAAAGTGCACCAGGCGAAATATTTCGTTGTTTTCGTCCGTATAGACTCCAAAAAGAGCAGCAATTCGCTACTTTTGTATGAAAAAGCCTTCTACCGTTGCAGCAGACATCCCTGCAGACGAAGCAATAGCCGTGGAATTCGCCGCACCTAGTAAGTTCAGGGTTGATTGTGTGTACGTTGTAGCACACGTCGTACTGATTGTCCGGCAAGGGTATACGTTCGCCGGTACCATGACTGCTTGAGGGTTACTTCCTACTACCTGGAGCACAACCATCCCTGCAGCAAGTTTATTTTGACAGGCTCCCCATCAACCGGCGACTGAAAACGACGAATCAAAGGAGTGTTCTACTCTTTTGAAATACG